GCTGAAAATGCACGTTATACTAAGGGAACCGGCCATGTTTGCAAGCCATCTCGGGCCCTATTGGGCCTCGCTGAGGCTGTCTTCTGGGCCTCTTGGGCGTCCTCGGAGACCCGAAATCATGTTCCCGGAGAGGCTTCCGGGAACATGATTTCGAACGAGGGGCTTCTTGGGCCGTCTCGGGGGGTTCCGTGAGCCCCACAGAACGACCCTTTTGGGCCGTCTTGGGCCCTCTTGGGTCTCTCTTGGGCTGTGTTGGGGCTCCTCGGGGGCGTCTGGGGCACTGCGAAGACGAAGCAAGCGAGCATGCTGAAAATGTATTTTTTACAACGGGAATGGGCCGATTTGTGCCTCTTGAAGGCCCTCTTGGGGCCCTCGTCGGCCTTCTTCAAGCCATCTCGGACCCTCCTGGGGCGCTCTTGGGCGTCTTCGGGGCCTCTTGAGGCTTTCTTGACCATCTGTACGGACCGCGTGGCCTGTCGCGGGCAATGTGGAAGCGGCCCGGGGCAGTCCCCGGGGGTCTGTGACCCCCAAAAGGTCCTGGGGGGCGCCCATGGAGGATGGCGGCACCTGCCGGGCCCCACCTCCCGGCCTACTCCGAGAGAGAGAGAGACATACATACATACATACATACATACATACATACATACATACATACATACATACATACATACATACATACATACATACATACATACATACATACATATATACATACATACATACATACATACATACATACATACATACATACATACATACATACATACATACATACATACATACATACATACATACATACATTACTTACGTTACATACATACATACAAACGTACATACATACATACATACATACATACACACATACATACATACATACATGCATACATACATACATACCTATATACCTACCTACCTACCTACCTACTTACATACCTACATGCCTACACACCTACACACCTACCTGCCTGCATACCTACATACCTACATACCTACATGCCTACATACCTACATACCTACATGCCTACATACCTACATACCTACATACCTACATACCTACATACCTACATACCTACATACCTACATACCTACATACATACATACATACATACATGCATGCATACATACATGCATACATACATGCATACATATACGCAGAAATACATACATACATACATTCATGCATGCATGCATGCATGCATACAGACATACCTATACATGCATACATACATGCATATATACATACATACCAGACAGACAGACAGACAGACAGACATACATGCATACATACGTACCATACAGACATACATACATGCATACATGCACACACATACCTACATACACATGTACATACATATATACATGCATACATACATGCATGCATGCATGCATACATACGTACATGCAGGCATGCAGGCATGCATGCATGCATGCATGCATGCATGCATGCATGCATGCATACCTACATACATACATATACACATACATACACACACACACATACATACATACAGACATACGTACGTACGTACGTACATACATACATACAGACAGACAGACAGACAGACATGCATGCAGACAGACAGACTTACAGACAGACAGACGTACATACATCGGCTACGCGCAGGAGTGACCCTAGGCAAGAAGTGGCCGTGAGTGCGCGGACTGTGGGGGCGCAGCGTGGCCAAATCCAAGCGCGGACGCAGCCACGATCGCATCGCGCTCTCAGCGATCGGGGGAACCCCGTCGAGAACGCACCAGAGGCCACTCCGGCGAAGGGCCGCTCTTGCGCATGCTGTGCAGGTGCGTTCGGGTGGTGCCGGACAGCGGCGAACGCCGCAGGAAAGCGTCGCGAGGAGAGCGCCGCGAGCGAGCGGGCGCAGGGAGAGCGCGCCTCGGCGGGTGCCGCGCCGCCCGCCAGGGGGCCCTCCAGGGCCGGCGAGTGGGCGCCATTGGCGCAGAGGCCCAGGTCGGCGACGAAGGCCTCGTGCGCGAGGGGGGGGGGCCGGGAGGGCGCCACGCCCACCGCCAAAGCCCTGGCCTCCTGCTCGTGTGCCTCCTCCTGCTCCTCCCCCCATTCCTCTTCCCAATGCTCCTCTTCCCCCACTTGCCCCTTCTCCTCCTCCTCCTCCTCCTCCTCCTCCTCCTCCTCCTCCTCCTCCTCCTCCTCCTCCAGGAGGGCGACAACGAGTGCAGCGCATGGTGGGGAATGCCTCCCCCTTCCCTGCGCTTTGAGTACGCCACCATTCTCGGCCTTTGCTTCTCCCAAGGCCCTCACGGATCGATCTGGCTCGGAATGGACGCACCGAGCTGGGACCACGATCCAGAGTCGTGACTTTCAAGCAGCGGTGCGAGACTCTTTGGGGGCGGCGCTAGCCGAATCGAGGAGACAAGGACGAGGACAAGGACGCCGAGGGGAGAGGAGCTGCTAAGAAGGAGGAGTCTCTCTTGGGAAGGCTCAGGAGCTTCTAAGGAGCCCCTTACCGTTCTGACCCTTCTGCGCGCCGTCAAATACGAATCGACGAGACGAGGACGAGGACAAGGACGAGGCCGACGCCGATCACGACGTCGACGACGACCACCACCACAACAACCACCGAGACGACGACGACGACGACGACGACGACGACGACGACGACGACGACGACGGCGAGGGCGAGCTGGATAGGGGGGGCGTAAAAGGCGGAGGCCTGGCCGCCGTCCAGGGAGGGGCCCGCCACCCGCAACGTGAACGTGTGGTGCACGGTCCTCCCCGCCGCGCCGAGGCATGGGGAGGGGAGGGTCGAGGCTCGAGGCTCGAGGAGTCAGGATCGCAAGTCTAAGGTCCCTGGGCCTGGAGAACGAAGTGGAGGAGGACGAGGAGGACAAGGAGGACAAGGAGGACAAGGAGGAGGAGGAGGAGGAGGAGGAGGAGGAGCGGCGCGCAGAATACATCATATGATCATGAATCGTTCAGTCTTCGCTGATCTCAGGCAGAAGAGCCGACTGGATGAGGTCTTCCAGGGCAAGCGCACACACACACACATACACACAATCACCTCTTGAGGCACTAGCTGGACAGGTCGGGCCCATCCAGGGCGGCCCAAGGCGGCCCTCAGGACCCATTCGATCGTCAGGACCAGACGCATATCCCAGAATCTCTCCCGAGAGCCGACGCTCCTCGCGCCCCCGTGGTTCTGAGGCTGAGGCAGAAAGGGAAGGAAAAAACATGTCTTCCTCCCGTCTTTAGCCAAAACGGTTCAGGAATGCTTTCTGCGGACACCGGACCCCAAGGGGCAGGGTCGCTCCGCCTGGGAGATGGAATCCGTGGGAAACGGGCGAATAACGAACGCACCAGCTTCCCAGTCGCTCCCATCACTTCATGTTCAAAGCTCGCTGCTCTGTGTCAGTGCCGTCGCCCTCTTAGACTTAGTGGCCACCACTGCGCATTGCGCACGAGAGGGAACCCAGGTGACTGGAAAACGGTCCCCACCTTCTGGCTCCTTTGCAGCACGTGTGTCTGCAGCCGTGTCAGCTTCTACGATCCCTCGGTGTTACGTTGTTGCGTGCTACGTCGGCGGGCGGGCGTTCAAACAACCGTTACGCCTGGATCGACGCAAGCTGCGGGAACCTCAGTCCCCACTTGGCAGGCCGCATTGGCGCCACGTGTCCAGCGAGCGCGGCCGAGATTCCGGCCACTGTGCGTCACGAGTGACGCCCAGAGGTGTCGTGACATCTACCCTTAGGTCGGGCGTGTCCCCCTACAGGGGAATTCCCGACGAAAGAATAAAAATGCCCCAAAAATTGTATATACATATATATATATAATAATAATAATAATAATAATAATAATAATAATAATAATAATAATGTCCAAAAATGGTCTGGGGACTTTTTTGTAAAAATGTTTTGACCTTTTTGGGGTATTTTGGGAGTATTTTCAATTTTTCGTCGAAAATCCCCCTGTAAGGGGACACGCCCGACATAAGTCTACCCCAACATACGCTCCTCCTCGGAAGTCGCGGCGCGCGGCTGCAGACATCCGTATTCGCGCCAGCGCAACCTGGCACGGAGTGGGGGCGCGCGACCGATTCCTCTAAAAAACATGTCCACAACTATAGGCGCGTGCCGCAACAATACACGCCGATCAAAACATCCAGAGCAAAACTAAGTAGCCCACTCACAAATCAAATCTGCCCTCCCGGGACAGAGCTCGAAGGCCGAAGTGCTGCCGGATTCTCGCCGCGCGCTGGGCCCCGCCGCACTTCGCGGGCACGTCCGCGCGCTGCTTGGCGGCGGCGACGAACAGCAACTCCAGCAGCCCGGGTGTCATCCTGGAACGATTGGCGTTGACCTTCGCGGACAACGCGCGGGCGCTCCATGAACCCCGCCACTCTACCACGCGGTTCGCCGCTACACTGCCCCCGTGCAGGGTCGGCCGCACTCGGTGCCCCATGCGCCGCAGCGGCAGCGCTCACGTTCTCGCCGACGGCCAGCGAGTTCACATCCGCCTCCGCCGCGCTGACCGGGGCGACCAGCAGGCGCACGCTGCGCCAGACGACCAAGCAACCAAAGATGTACAACGAGACACCCACCTGGGCGCCGACGTCCTCGAAGCTCGCGTCGGCACGCGCATCCAGAGGGAGCGGCCCGCCCATGGCGAACTCCTGCGTGGCGTGGCACTGCAAGCCCACGCGCCTCGTGCCAGCGAGGTGCCACGAGACTGTCTTGCCGGACACCAGAGCATGGCCGGGGCGGCTCGGAGCGAGCGCCGCGACGCGCGGCGCCGCGTGGGCGATGTCTGGAGGCGCGCGCGAAGCAAGCCGGAGCAAGCCCACCAGCTATACGTTGCGCGAGTCTGACATCAGTCAGCGCTGGCTCGTCTGCGTTCACTTCCCCAGCGAAGTCACCGCTGCTCTCCGTGTCTAGGCTGATGGAGCCTGCGCCACTCGCCTTCTCCGTCCCGCAGTTCTCCAGCAGCTCCCAGGCATAGAAGCGCTGGAACAGGGCGATGCTGGAGTCCATCTTCACATCGATATCGATGAAAAGGCAACGCGCGACTGCTGGGGACCCAGGGCCAACTTGGGATTTGGACGATGTCATCCAGAACTCTCCCAAAGCCGATCTCCTCGCCGAAACTACCGAAGAATGTTCCAAGATGAGGATGTCGTCCATGCGCGCGAGAACGCACCCGCAGACGCTGCCCGCAGAGCCCGCGATGCCCCGCACTACCCCGTTGGGCGGTGCTCTGCCGGAGACGGGATCGATGGGCCTGCGAGTCCTCGACGATCACGTCCTTCTTTCCGAACCTCGCCTCGCAGCCCACGCCCTGGGCGGGCGAGACGCGCAGACCAGCGACGGCCTCGCTCGCCAGACGCCCCCCAAAGGTGCCGCGCCATCGCGGCGGGAGGGTGCAGCAGCACCTCCTGGCGCTCGACGGGGAGGCGGGCCTCGAGGAAGCCGGTCGGAACAGCCACCGCGCCGACGTCCCAGCGCCGGGTGGATGCTGCCGCGGAGGCGCCGCGGAGGCCAGGAGCCTCGAGGCTCGGGGTGCGCTGCGCTCCCCGCGCTGCTCGAAGTGGCCGCAGGCCACGCCTCGGCACTGCTTCCTCCAGTACCCCGTCGGATCAGAAGGCTCGGCAGCATTGGCACCTGCCACCACCTTCCTATTTGGACGCCCGACATGGTACGGAAAAAATGGGTACAATGCCCAACAAAAAATGTTGTCCAAAACCGACAGCGGCCGCTGTTGGGCAGGCGGCCTTCTGTCTCAAATGGACACATGCCGCGGCGGCGCGGACAGCGAGTCCTTTTCAAAATGAACAGGAACTGCTGTTGGGGATCGTACCCTTCCTTTCCGTACCCACTTCGGGCGTCCAGATCCTAGGCAAGATGCTTCAGGGCCTCGCCCGGCGGTCCTCCGTCGGCACCGGCCGGGAGAAACCCTGTCTCCGTCGTCGAATTCAACTCGTTCTGGAGGAACTGCTGCCACTCCCCCTCCTCCGAGCCGAAGGCCTCGTGGAGCACCCGTCGAGGCCGACCAGCGACGTGTGTCGGAGGATCTCCCGAAACTCGAGCGGCACGCTACCCTCGTCGTCGTTAACCAGCTGCAGTAGACTTTGAAGGCACGAATGCGCGCGGCGCGAATACGAGAACACACAGTTTGAAAAGGACTCGCCTCCATCCGTGGAACTGCTGCAAATTGCAAGCTTCAGACCATACAGGGCAGTTGTTAATACCTAGGATGTTTTGACATATAGGATTTGTAATACATGATGAATGTATGCATAATTTTATGCATGAACTCATCGTTGTTTTTAATACTACATCCCTGCATTTTTAATACATGATCCGCGCGCGGAGCATGTATGAAAAACGGCACTGTAAATGGTCAGGACGTCTCACGCGAAACGCCCGGTCGGCCCTGCCGCCACGTCTGGGGGCGCGACAGGTAGGAGCTACTCGTGAGAGAAAAGGGTGGCCGAGGAGGGGAAGGAGGAGGAGAGAGGAGGAGGAAAAGGATGAAGGGGCCCTGGGACACACAAGTAAATACACACAAATAAAAGGATCCCCCTTCTTTTCCCATAAGTTCTGGGTTTTAGTCTTCCCTCCACTTCCCATATTTTCCCATATTTTCCTGGGAGTCGACGATTAATTGTGTCTGTGTGTTTTTGTTCCTTCCTGAGAGGAGGGGGGGGAGGAGAGAGAGGGGTACTGACCAGTTGGGCACCACTGTATGAAGATGCAGATGCTGCGTTCAACAAACTTGACGCGCTGGCGCGCCTCTGTGCGCACAAGGCCGGCTTCAAATATCCCCAAAGCAGGGGGGCTGACGAGAACGACGAGGATGAGGGAGGAGGAAGAGCAGGAGGACGAAGAGCAGGAGAGTTGATTAAGTTTGGACTCGGGTAAGGAGGACGATGATGACGACAACGACGACGACGATGATGATGATGGTGGTGATGATGATGATGATGATGATGATAATGAAGATGATGATGATGATGATGATGATGATGATGATGATGATGATGATGATGATGATGATGATGATGATGATGATGATAATGTTGATGATGATGATGATGGCGGTGATGATGATGATGATATCGCTGATGATGATGAAGATAATAAGAATGATGATGTTGATGATGATGGTGATATTGGTGATGTTGGTGATGGTGGTGATGATGGTGATGATGATGATAAATATGATGATAATGATGATGATGCTGATGATGATGACGACGATGATGATGATGATGTTGATGATGATGATGATGATGATGATGATGATGATGATGATGATGATGATGATGATGATGATGGTGGTGGTGGTGTGGTGGGTGGTGGTGGTGGTGGTGGTGTGGTGGTGGTGGTGGTGGTGGTGATGATGATGATTGATGATGATGATGATGATGATGATGATGATGATGATGATGATGATGATGATGATGATGATGATGATGATGATGATGATGATGATGATGATGATGATGATGATGACGACACGCTCTCGAAGCGTGGTGAGGAGGAGGAGGAGGAGGAGGAGGAGGAGGATCGGAAGGAGAGGGAGGAGGGGAAAGGGGAGGAGGGAAGGGGGAGGAGGGGGGCATGCAGCAGAGATTTTCTACAGCTCCTCGCGCGGCGGGGCACTCCTGTGAGCGGCTCCGGGAGCCCGGAAGAAGGGGTTCTCCCACGAGGTCGGCCCCTTCCAAGTCACGGGCTTGAAGTGCGAGAGTATGTTGGCAAACTCGCTGCCCTTGAAGCGCATGGGCCTTCCATGGACTCCACCAGCGTGCCCCCATGGCACGCTGAGGCGTGGAAGGATGCCGAGCGAGCGACGAGAATGAAGCGTCTGCAGCGAGAAGACATAGCGACCTCACGCCGCGGCTTACACGGGCCGCCGGCGTGGCACACCGCGTGGAGAGGAGGCCGCTTACGCGCGACCATGCAAGGGAGGCTTACGCGCGGATGTCCGCGCAGTCGAACCCGTTTTCCTCTGTCGCTCAAGAGCCCAACAGGCCCCCAGGGCCACTGAGAGGCCCGAGGTGTCATCCGTGAAGGCCACGCGTGCCTTCTGGAACAGTCGCCACCCAGAATGCTGCGATGACACGGTGGCGGAATCGACGGAGGCAGCAGGATATCCTGGCACCCTCATACAGCAACATCTCCCCTGGCTGCAGGTACACCTCTGTCCGACCAGGTCGGTGGGGATGAATGATCTCCAGGGGCCAGCCTTCGTCCGCCCTGGACCCTACGTGGATGACGGCGCTTGCGATGTGCGTGTCGGACCGGTCCAGGTGATTGATCACCACGGACCCACGGCGGTAGATGCGCACGCCGAAGGTGGTGCTGTGTCTGAGCGGCATCTTCGTCCACCACTGCAGGACCTGCCTCACCTCCTTGGCCACTCCGTAGCGCACATTGAGGTCGCGCTGCAGATCGATGTTGTCCACGGGCACGGCGCGGCTGTTGGTGAAGAAGCCTGGGATCTCCTCCTTCCTCCTCACAGCGGCCTGCAGGCGCTCCGCGTACCAGGGGTACAGCAGCGAGCGCATGCCGTCCGTGATCTCCATCTTCAGGAAACCCTCGTCGTAGCGGGTCACGTTAACGATGCGGCTCTGCTGCGACATCCAGAGGTGGTCCACGGTCGCGCCGGCCTCGTAGGGCGATCCGCGAAGCTCGCCCTCGAGGAAGCCGTACTCACTGGGGTCCCGGCTGGCCACCATCGCCTCGCTGACCTCGCGCACGCAGCTCCAGTTCGCCGAGGGGCCCACGCACGGCGACCCCGAGCGGCGGGCAAGGCGGTCGAACTCGTCCCACCGCGAGGCCGGAAGGCCAGCAGAAGGGCGCGGGCGCCAGCGTTCAGAGGCCCCAACGGACCCCTCGGGTCGCCGCCGAGCCTCCCCCCCGCCACGGGCCCCTCCCTGGATGCGCGGCGGGGGCAGCGAAAGGGGGGGTGGGCCAGGCGCGGACCTCCAGACGGCTGCGCCCGCGCCGCTTCGGGCGGGCCTTCCGGAGGCGTCGAGGTCCGAGCCGAGGTCCCTGCCGTCCAGCTCCGCGCAGGGGCGCACGGGCACCCGCCGGCCCTCGCCGCGCCCCCCGCTGGCACGGAGGAGGGAAGCGGGCCCTGAGGGCGCCGGGCCCCTCCCTCCCCGAGGCCAGCTCCTCCCCCGGGATCCCAGGGCCCCTCCGCCCGAGGAGCCAGCTCCTGCTCCTGGGCCGCTTCTTGCCCCTTGCCCCGGGGTCCGTGGCGGAGGACCCGGGGAGGCCAAAAAGGGCCCGCCTCCCTCAGGGCTTCGCCGGGCATCCGACGTCACCCACACACCCACACACACCCACACACCCACACACCCACACACCCACACACCCACACCCCCACACGCCCACACCCCCACACCGCCATACCCCCACACCCACACACCCCCACACCCCCGCACACCCACACACCCACACACCCACACCCCCACACCCCCACACCCCCACACCCCCGCACCCCTTCACCCCCGTACCCCCACACCCGCGCTTTCTGTCACGGCAGGGCTCCCCGCAGGGCTGGACCCCTCCCCCGGGACCCGCTTGTCATCCCGAGTCGATGTCTGACCGTCCGGAAGCCCAGCAAAGGGCCCCCGAGGCCGAGAGATGTCAAAACCTTCCGCCGTGCTGGCTCCGCGACGCCAAGAGATGGCTTTCCGGGCCATCACTCGGACCTTCGGCGGCCGTCCGGGACGATCCGGGCACCCCCCGAGCGCTCTCGGCGAGGCACCGCTCCTGGCAAGCACCCCGAGGCGAGAGATACTCTCAAAGGTGCAGCGAAGACTGCCGAAAACTCCTGGGGGGGGGGGGGGGAGCGTGACGCCGATCCCTGCTCGCGGTGGGGATGCCCAGAGCCCTGACCTTCGCGGCGGCCTCGACGCGGTGCACGGTCATCAGCCGGGCGCCGCCCGCCGAGCGGACGTTGAACAAGTGGCCCACGAACGTCTCCTCGAGGTGGGCCGCGCCGGTCGCGAGGTAGGCCACGTGCTGCTCCTCGCGGCGGAGCGGGGGAGGAGGACGAGGAGGAGGAAGAAGAGGAAGAAGAGGAGGAGGAGAAGGAGGAGGAGGCGGATGAGGATGAGGCTGTGGATGAGGATGGAAGAGGAGGAGGAGGAGGAGGAGGAGGAGGAGGAGGAGAAGGACGATGAGGGGAGGCGGAGGCGCGGAGCGGGGGCGGCGGGGCAGCCAAGAGGGCCCAGGGGTCAGGTCGGGTCCAGTGGCATGCGGGGGCCGCACGCTCCTGACGACTGGAGACGGCGCAGGAGGACGATACAGTGGCACACGCCCTTCCAGACACGAAGCTGCGGGCAAGGTCATCATCATCAGCATCATCACCACCACCACCATCATCATCATCATCATCACCATCATCACCATCATCCTTCCCATGCTCAATTCCTTCCCCTTATAGATAACTTCTCCCTGTCGCACCCCGAGGCCAGTATTTAGGGCGGGCCCGGCGTTTTGCCAGAGACTTCCTCACCATCTATGACTCTGAAACTTAAAAAATGGCAACAGCTTCACAGATGGAGGGCGGGCCGTTTTTTTATGTGGCTCTCGCCTTAGCGCCGCGCACATTCGCTTAAAACATTCGAAAGAGTTTCACGGATTGAGGGCGGGTCGTTTTCAAGATGTGGCTCTCGTCGCAGCGCCGCGTACAGTTGTTTTAAAAATCTGCAGGAGCTTCACGGATTGAGGGCGGGTCGTTTTCAAAATGTGGCTCTGGTTTCAGCGCCGCGCATATTATTTTTAAAAACTCGCACGAGTTTCACGGATTGGGGGCGGTTCCTCTTCAAAATGTTGCTCTCGCGTTAGCGACGCGCACATTCGCTTGAAACAATTGCAAGAGTTCCACGGATCCCCATGATCAGCGTACCAGAAATGGCGTTTGGGAAGAATTCTGGATTATGCGGGCGCAACAATTATGTTGATCCGCGGTGCTGATGTCCCAAAAACGGCGCTCTGGCACGATTCCGGATCGTCAAGACGCAGCAGTCAGGCTGATGCGTGGCGTTGAAATCCCGAGAACAATTTTTGAGCATGCTTCAGGATCTTCAAACGGTTGTCTTCCAACTAGGCAGTTCCCCCAATGGAAATGAACGGTTGTGGGGGCCTTCGAAGAGGGAGCTTGGAGGGAGGATTTATTCTAACATCGTTGATGACTCTTGGGTTTACACTGGTCCTCCTCCTCCTCGTCCTCCTCGCCCTCCTTTTCTTATTAATATTATTATTCAATCGTACTATTGTTATTGCTTGACAGGATCACAGATCATTGCCCTTTAGGATCAGGAAAATCACATTCAGATTTGAACATTCGGAAAAGTAAAGAGGTTCGGGAAATTAAAATATTCATTTCCGAAGGTTCGGAAAAATAAAAAGGTTCATTTCCGAAGATTCGGAAAATAAAGAGGTTCATTTCCGAAGGTTCGGAAAATAGAAAGTCTTCATTTCCGAAGGTACGGAAAATATGGAGGTTCATTTCCGAAGATTCGGAAAATAAAGAGGTTCAATTCCGAAAATTCGGGAAATTAATGGGTTCGTTTCCGAAGGTTCGGAAAATGAGCAAGTTCATCCCCGATGGTTCGGAAACTGAGCAACTCAACTTCCGAAGGCTCGTAAAACCCTCGCGGCAATTTGTGAAGGGTCCTGAAAACACGAGGAATCACCCCCGAAGGTTCGGAAACTGAGCGAGCCCATGCGCGCGCATTGTGCAATGCTGGTGTATGATGTGTGCACTCTAGACTACTATATAAAAGTGTGGCATCGTAGATCGTACGGCGTAGAGATGACCTGACAGCCAGCGTTCAGAAGCTCTCGCGCACTGCTCCCTATCCTATAGCCTATAGCCTATAGCCTATAGCCTATAGCCTATAGCCCATAGCCCCATAGCCCCATAGCCCCATAGCCTAGCCTATAGCCTATAGGCCGATCTTCCAGGGCACTGGCCTTGAACTATTACCGCCGCGACTGGATTCGCCTCCGAATCGCGGCCAGAACGCGCCCCGGGGGGGTAGCGGCATCGGCGGCAGCCTCGGAGTGGCAGCAGGACAAACGAGGAAAACGGCGACGACGACGGAGAGGCGATCGAGAGCGCCTAATGATTTCGCTCGGCGGCTCGAGCGCCGCAGCAGCGTTTTGTCGCGGGCCGACGGCGGCGGCCCGAACAGGCCGGCGGGGGTGGGCCAACGGTGCAAGGGCGCAGCAAGAGCTTTCCTCCCCCTCCCCATCTTCCATTATTTTCCCCATCCCATCCCTTTCTTTCGCTCTTCCTCCCTCCCCGCTCCTCCTCCTCCTCCTCCTCCTCCTCCTCCTCCTCCTCCGCCTCGCCACCCCTCCTCCTCAACCTCCTCCTCATCATCTTCCTCTTCTCTCTCCCGATCCCCCCCATTCAACCCCTCCTCATCCTGCCCCCCCCCCCTCTCCTCCACCTCCTCCTCCTCCTCCTCCTCATGAACTACTGCGGGATGCCAGCATCACACCAGCAAGCCCGCCAATTCGGAGAGCTCCGACGCGGGCACCTCTACCTGAGCGGGGAACTTCACGGTCGCCAAGACAGCAATCTCGATCGCCGCGAAGACGGTGGCGCTGAACGCGTTGCCCGCCAGATCCACGAGTTTCGAGTCATTCTCTTTCCAGTCCCCACTCTCGATCCACTCGGTCGGAAAGCCTTGGAGGCGCATCGCCTCGAAGCCCAACATCAAGCGGCTGCCCTTGCCCTGGTCGCCCTTCTTGCCCTGGAACACCCACATGACCATGCTCGGCGTGAGGGTCTGAGTGGTGGTGCCAACCGGTTTGACGCAGCGGTCGAAGCGCGGGTTGATGTCGAGCGTGATCATGTCGGGCGCCGTGGACTTGTAGTAAATCAGGCAGTCCTTCTGCCTCGCCGACAGGGTCTGGAACCACTCGTTGCTGGCCAGGTCGCTCGGCACCGATAAGTCTTTCCAGGAGACGCCCTTCATCTGGAGCTGCCTGCGATGTGACTCGCCCACGTCGTCCCTCGATTTCGTCGTAGCCTGGCGACGCTCCAGCTCCGCCTGCACCCGGGGGTGGTCGTTGCCGTACAGAAAGTTCATCATCGGACACGGTGGGGTCTTGAGCTTATCAATCTGGTGCCAAATACTCTCCAGCCGCTCCGCGGTCTGGTCAGCCGTCAAGTGGAAGGCCTCCCTGCGAAGGCACACGAAGAAGCATCGACGACGCTTCTGGGGGAGGCCGAAGTCGGTCGATGGGAACACACTGTGCTTCGTGCTGCACGACAGCCCGCGCGCGGGCAATAGGCACGGCGGCGCGGCAAGTCCACTTGGTCTTACCCACTTGGATCCTACCGTAGCCGATCCTATCCCGTCATTATCCCCCTCCTCATCCCATTTTCTCCTCCGTATTTCACCCTTCACCCTCCCGGGAACAAGGGCGATGAGCAGGCGGAGTTGCCGCGAGGCTTAGCCTATATCCAATCTCATCCAGAATGCCGTAGAGGTGCCCCACGTTTTTGCCGACGCCATCCTCGTCCTTCTCGATCTCGTCGATGTCTGGGACGTTCTCCAGTATCACGATTGCTGGGCGGGCCCTCATGATGTGGTTGAATGCCCAATGAAATGTGGTTCCCGAAGAACCCACAATGCCGATGAGCAGGCTCCCTTTCTGGTCACGCTTGAGAGAGCTTGTCAGTCTGGAGAAATCTTTGCAACTGAACCCGACAACGAACACGTGGGCGTTCATTGGAACGTAGCATACCTTGGAGTGGTACGAGCACTTGGCACGGCCATTGCCTAACTCGGCGAGGTCTTCGAACATGCAGCCGCGGCACGACATGTGCGGCGCGACGACGCCCTCGTAGAAGCTCCTCTTACTCTTGTCCTTCTCGCAAGCGAAAGCCGTCTTCGGGTCCTGGCTGGCGGGCGGCGGGCGGCGCTTACACTCTGAGTTCCCTCCCCCATATCCTCCCTCCCCTCCCCCCTCCCCTCCCCAAACAGCCCCTCCCCTCCTGCCTCCTACCTCCCCCCTGCCGCCCGCCCGATTTGACATGCTGTCCTGCAGGCCGAGTTTGCGGTGCAACTCGGCGTGCACGGCCTCGGGAGTCCCGCTCCCGCTGCACGCCGTCGACATAATCAGCCCCATCAGAAGGACGGCCCTCAGATTTTTCAAAGCAACGGGGTCGAGCTTGGCGAGGCTCCTGGCGACGAAGCGACCGACGAGCGTGGCGCTCTTGTGCGTGGCCGGGAGACACGGGCCCGAGGGTCCGGGTGATGAGCCAGCTGGGGGGTCAGTGGATGAGCCAGCTGACGGATCCCCTCCTGCCTCGGGCGCTGTTGGCCGCTTCTCGGGGGAGGTGCCCGATGCCGCAGCAGCGGGGCGCTTCTTCGCAGGCATCTTGCTCGGGCTCACCGCTAGGCCCCTCGGCCGGCTGGTAAGTAACTGGTGAGTAACTGGTTTGAAGCTGGAAACGGTCGCAGGCAGGACAGGAAGGGAGGACGTGGAGGTGATTGGGCAAGATGTGGAGGATGCGGAGGTGCAGGAAGCTGCGGTAGAAGTGGGCGGCTACGAGGTCTGGGCGGAAGTCGCTCGAGCGCAACCCTGCCCCCATCTAAGACACCGCTCACTCTAACAGCATGAGCTGCGCCCGGCCGAGGCGACGATGGAGGCGCCCCGAGCGCTCATAACTCCCCATCCCCGTCCCCGACGCCACGGCCCATGCAGCTCGCCTCGGTGGGGCTCGAAGGCTGAGGTCTCTGGAATGCAGGCGGGGTTGCGCATCGCACATTTTCACTGAATGGTTGTGACGGGCCGACAACGGCCAACGGTGCAAGGGCGCGGCAACGCTGGCGGCACAATGGCCGCGCTTTCGCGCTGGCCTCGCTGGGTGGCGCCCCACGCACGCTCCGCGCCACCCCTGCTGGAGCGCACGGTGGCAACGGGCAACCCCAGCCCGCGACATTAAAGGGTGCCGCGAAACCCGCCTGGCCCCCCTCCCCCATCCGAAAAAATGACAGCGGCAGAGCCCCGCCACAGACTCGCTGGCACACAGCGCCGGGGCGCTGGCCTCAGAAGTCACGGCGCCCACGTAGCTCTAGCGCCGCTCTCAAAGCTGGCTTGGGGGAGGGGCGGGGGGCCAGGCGTGGAAAACGCAGCTGGCGGGCTCGGGCTCCAGGCGTCAAGTCGCTCTCGAGTGGCCCCACCCCCCTCCAGCGCCTCACCCAGGTGGTCTTGCCTGAGGAAGGGGGAAAGGAGAGGGGAAGGCGGAGGACGGAGGAAGGAAGTGGAAAGGAAGGCGGAGGTCGGATGACGAGGAGCATGGCGAGAGAGGCGGGGGGACTGAAAGGACGAGAGAGGGCGCGAGAGAGAGAGAGGGAGAGAGAGAGAGGGAAAGAGAGAGAGAGAGAGAGAGAGAGAGAGACGTGGAAGGCCCTTGTGCGCTCCACCTGTGCTTTCCCTCCATGCCCCCAGCCTGCAGCCATCCAAATCCTAAGACGCCCTGCCCGATCTCTCCTCAAGAGGGCTGGGCCCCCTTCCTGCCGCGGCCGCGGCCGCGGCCGCGGCCGCCGCGGCCGGGCGCCCTCCCGTCGCGGCCGCGACCGCGGCCGCGGCCGCCGCGGCCGCCGCGCCCCGAAGAGGCCGCCTCGCCGTCCCCGGCGTCCTCGTCCACGAGCTCGCCCTCTTCCTCCTCGGCCTCGTCGCCTTCCTCAGGTTCGGCCCCCTGGCGAAGGGGGTCGGCTGGCCAACCCGCGCACTTCTCCTTCCCCCCATCCCCCCATGAGTCATGCAAACAATGGTTCAATCATGAGTTTTTGCTGTGTCGTTGTTGTCGCCCTCGTTATCATGATAGTCTGCCATTGCCAATTGCCAATTGCCAATTGCATTGCCCATTCCCAGGCATCAGATCTTGCCGAACGGCTCGTGACTCATATGACTCACTCACATCATAGCATATCATATGTCATATATCCCATATATCATATGGCCCATATAGCATATCATATCATATCATTATTCTGAATATGATCCTCCTCCACCTCCTCGCCCCCTTCACTCCCCTCTCCTCCCGCCCCCGGGGCCCCCATCGTCTCCCCCCGTCTTTATTGCCCCGACTCCACACCCATTGATCGCGAGACCATGCGCCGAGGGATGGGATCGGATGCAGCGGCAGAGGAACGGGGGCAGGTCAGTATTTCAGCGAAGTAAGAGCGGGGTCGGCCCTCGAACCTGCTCGCAGCGCAGCGTTGGGCCGAATATGTCGGGAACGTGGAGCCAGGTGCGGGGGCCCTGAACACTAACGACTGATGGGCGGGGGCGAGGAGGGCGAGGAAGACATACCAGGACGGGGCGAGGGGGGCTCTTGGGGCCCTCTCGGGGGGCTCTTGGGCCCATATGTCGAAATCTGTTTGGCCCTCTTGGGGGGCTCTTGGGGCCCTCTCGGGGGGCTCTTGGGCCCTCTTGGGGCCCTCTTGGTCGGCGGCTCCCGAAACGGATTTCGACATCGATACGATGCCGCAATCCTCGCTGGCCGACCTCGGGCCCCACAGTAAACCGACGCGAAGTTCGACGCCCGATGCCGAAAGGACCCCACCGACCCCCGCACCTTCACATCTGGCTCAGCGGCCGGCAGCTGTGCCGCCCGCCTCTTCCTGGCCCCGCCCTGCTGCTTGTCCAGGGCGAGCAAGTTCTTGACCTCGCTGGTCACGCTGTCGCCCAAGTACTCGACGATGGCCGGGTCGCCCTTGTGGGAGTCCCACACGGAGGACAAATTCTGCCTGGCCATCTGGCCCTCGCTGTCCATATTGCTGATGTTGGGGGCCTTCACGAACGCGACCACGCCGTACTTGATGCACTGCATGCGGGCGCGAGTGCTCAGGGCATTCGCCGCGTTGATATCCTGCTCATACTCCGTGCTCCACTTCGGGTCGATCTGTAGCGCGAGCAATGGGGCGCAACCTGAGCCTCAGCGTCCGATGGCGCAACCCCGGCTGAGCCTCCCCGACTCCCCTCAAAGCCCCCTCCCTCGACTAGCCATTGGGTTGGCCATCGTACGCGCAGGTAGTTGCGCCCCCTGCTTGCGGCGATGCCTTCTCGAACTGAGCCAAGATATCAGCGATCTGCGAGCGATACGTCCGCATCTCACCCAGCTTCTTCTGAGAGAGGGCCGAGTAGAGCTTGTCGACGTCCGAGGCGACCTCATCCTTGACCGTCATCGGCGTGAGCTTGTGCATCACCCTGTTCAGCTTGACCTTCAGCTCTTTCGCCTCCTTCTCCAGCAAGGGGACTAACGCCTCCTGGGCACCCCGAGCCATGTCAATCACCTTCTTTGTCATATCCTCGTCGATGTACCACTGCAGCTGATGCGTGGAGGTCTCCAAATCGAGAATGGCGGACAAGGCCCCCTTGACCGCCGCGTTGCCCGCCAGCAACGCCATGGCATTCGGGGCAGCGGTCTTCGCGTTGAAGGAGGCGCTCGTTTTGCAGATGGGGATGAGGACGTCCGCAGCGAAAGCGATCCCTGCCCGATCCAGGGTCGGCGTCTCCGAATAGCAAGTCTGCTGGTTCAACCTGAACAGAGCATCCTGCTCCAACTTGGAACTGGGCTTGTCCATGTCCTGCCTCTCGTCGGCTCCGTAGACTTCGATGGCGCGAGACACGTACGAGGCGACGTCCGTCTTGAACTCGGCGAGGTCGGTCAAGTACTTCGAGGTGCCGACCTTCGCAATCCCTGCAGCCGCCTCGAACTGCTTCAACTGGTCCCTCACGATCCGTTCCTGGTGACGGGGAATGGTGGCCTTGATGGTAGTGAAGGCCTGCATCAGCAACTGGCCCTCCGGGGAGTCCGAGCATATGGTGCCGTCAGAAGCAGCCAGGGCAGTCGCAATCTCGACGATAAACTGCGCCGACTTCTCGAAGAACTCCGTCAACTTGAGCAGGTGGTCCTGGGTGGCGAGGAGCTTTTCCACAGCCTCTTTGAAAGCGGTCTTGACTACGTTCGCCCAATCGTCCTCGTTGCTGCACGCGTCCTTCAAGCTCACGGAGCACCTGCGTTTCATGTCCTCGAAGTGCACGACGAGTTCACTTTTGAGCGAGTTCGCACTGAGCGCATCGACCTCGCCAGTAGCCATGCGCACGATCGTGTCCCACATCACCTTCAACTTCAAATTGATCTCTCCGATGCCGTGGGACACCAGCAGGTTCAGTGATTCGAGCAGCTTCACCATGTCGCTCTGCGCCGGGCGCCTCTGCTCGAGGAAGTAGTAGCTTCTGAACGCGTCTTTCAAGACAGTGTCGAAGGCCTCCCTATCATCGTCCTTGAAGATGGCCGCCGCGATGATCTCTGACGTCTGCTCCGCGGCGCGCTTGATGGCAAACGTTGCGCAAACTGGCTTGCTCTTGACCTGAACCTCAGCGGCGGCCACCAGCTCTCCCCAAGCCTTGTCCTGGAAAGTGGGTTTCAAGATGCCCTCGTACTGCGGGTCGGCCGCCAAGGTCTTCACGTCGCTAAAGTCGCCACACCCACCCTTATTGAACGAGTCGACGATCATCCGAGCATCGCGCTTTCCTCGGGATTGCAAAAACACACAGAGGGGTGGCACAACGACGCCCCCACAAGACTCCCCGGGGCCCCGGGCCTCTTTAGCCTCTATCGGCAGGAGGGAGGTAGAGGGCCGAAGGATTCACTCGACGGTGCATCGTTTGGTCCCCGCGCCTCCCTCCTGCCTCGACCTCGGGCGGCTCATTCGGCCACCTCCTCCGTCGGGCCCCCCCGAGGCCCTAGGGGCCACTGGCATTGGCCCCAGATGTCCCATGTCGCCGAGGACAGTGGACTCAGGAGCGGCCAGCATGGAGCAGAACGAGATGATGTCAGCCCGTGACTCTGCCTGAGTCACGTCGCCCGCATGCGCTCTTACCAACATCGCCATGGCGTTGCCCACAGCGACCTCCTTGAGCCGAGTCCCATGTTCCTCTGGCAACGACCCCGACAAAGCTTCCAAGTAGCCATCAGCGGCAACGTGCTCCATGAAGTCGGGGATCGCCTTGAATCGAATCAGGTCGACAGCCTTCTCGGCGAAGAAGAGCGCGTGGAAGCCCATGGGGACAGTGAGGGCGCACTCCATCAACTGGAGCTTCGCCCTCTCCATCTTGAGGACGTCCTTCTGCTTCTCCACAGTCGTGAAAGCAATGCCTGCATCGTTGAGCGCCTTGCTCTTGGCGCGACCGTCAATGAGAAGCTCCAAGACGGCCGGTGGCTTGCAAGTCCATTTCCTGACCTTGATGTCCAGGGTGACCCAATTCTTGCTGCTCGCGGACGCCAACTTCCTCATCTCGTTCATGGCCGTGTTGAAGGCCGCGAAGTCGTCGCCGATCAGGCATGTGTTGAGGGCGTCGCTGTCCAGCATCTTCGCGATCTTGTCGAGGCCCTCCTTGAGATCCTTGTAGCCGTGCGGCGTCAGGATGTCCACGGGCGTCTTGCCGATGAACTTCTTCTTCATGTTGGCCTCGCCCTGGGCATCGGACGCGCGGTCGCCCCCCGAGGCCGCCGGCTTGCCACCTGAGGCAGGCGTGCTTGGAAGTTTCCGACGGGACTGCCCAGGCGTCCCCGGCGGCTGCTGGGCCGCAGGCGCCGACGCGGGCTTGGCCTTCGCCTTCGCGATCGCCGCGGAGTGGGCATGGACATCCAGCAGGCTCGTGAGGGAAAACAAGTCTGGCATCTCCTCGTCTGACGGTACCGCTTCCATCTCTACATCAACCTCACCACCGCTGCCACTGGCCTCTGACGGCTCATCATCGTCGTCGCCCTCGGGGTATTCAGGCAGCGCCTTGCGGTCCTCGGCCGTGATCCCAGCCCTCTTAGCAAGCGCATCAAACTTGGCCGCAGACTGTCCGCTGCGGAGCGCGAGACTGCCGTCGTCAACCTCCTCCGACTCCATCACCCCTGTCTCCACAGCCAAGTCCATGTCCCACTCATCGATTTTCCCCCGCCTGAACATGACAACCCTGCGTCTCGCTCCGCCGGGGACAATCACTTCTTTGGTCGGCAGGTTCTCCCTCTCGATCTTGCCGGGGTGCCGTTTCTCGTAGCTGATCGCGCACACGCATTTCACCTTCTCCTTGACGGTCGCCATCTCTTTCCTGCTGGCGAAGGACGTCCGTTCACTGCTTCACCCGAATCCCTGAGCTATGTAGGCCCTCTTGGGCCATCTCGAAGCTCGCGCTGCAATTCAGAAGGCCCCCCTCCAAGGGGCCATGGGGCCCAGGCTCGAGAAACTCCCGCGGGGGTGCCAAGAAAAACCAACAGAAGCTCCGAGTTTCGCCGACGGCCGACGGCCGCAATCGGCAATGCAAGCACTGGTCGGGGAAAGGCCCTGACAAACAGTTACCGCCCCGTAACGTGCCCAAACTCGCAGCGAAACAGACGCCCCCCCCCCCCAAGAGCGGGCGCGGTCTTGTACACCTGAACGGCCACTTTACGAGCAGACTGCATCTTCCCCTCCAACATCTTGAGGATGTTATCTCCCAGGCGGTGGTGATCGCCAGTCTCCAACTCCAAGATCAGCGCTGTATCAGCAGCAGTCCACTCCTTGGCGAGCTGCTGGTCATTCTTCCTGGCGCCGTCGAAGGCTTCGGGAGTCCCATGCTCGTGCGCGAACCCCCCCTGGATGAAGGCGATCATGCATAATCTGCAAACATCGCCCCTGGGATTCACGTTGGTGCCAGCCGCCCAGATGACCGTCAGACTCTTGGTAGGCCCGTAAGGGCCTTTCTTCACCCTGTTCGGGTCCATATTCGTCATCCTGCACAATACGCAACGCTTGCATTTCAAGAACATGATTCCATTGTGCATCATAGGGCATTTGGGGAGGTCCTCGGCCCGGGATCCTGTCCCGCTCTCTCTCGAACCTCTGGAGTGACTGGACTGACTGGCAGGCATTGCTGGCCTCAGACAACCCCACTGAGACAACGGCGCCAGAACACTTGAGCACGCACAGCTGAGGCGGCACTCCCCCGTGGAGGGTGCCCGAACGAGCGACGGGCGGCGAAGGGGCCTCGGGGGCAGCAAACTTGCAACGCCCCCCCGGCGGCGTCACATCTCTGCCCCGAGGGGGGAGACAGGGGCCCTTAGTACGTGGCGCGAGCGCGCCGAACAATGCCTGTTTTTTCTATATGTCACATGCCATGCGTCCTCATCGGAGGGGGTACTTCGCTCACGTGGGCGCGCCGAGGCACACATCACACATGTATTGTTTTGTTGTTTGGCGTTTTTTCCTGATGGGGGGGTAGGGGGTACTTAGCGCGCGCGGGAGCCCCAAGAGATGCCACCGCGGGAGGGGGGTAGGGGGGAACTTAGCGCACGCGGGAACCCCATGAAATGCTCTGGGGGGGGGGCCCTTAAGTGCAGCGGATCTGCTCCTCCTTCGGGGGGGCTCCCGGAGGCCAAGACAGCCCGCTGCACTTAAGGTGCCCTTAAGTGCAGCGGATCTGCTCCTCCTTCGGGGGGGCTCCCGGAGGCCAAGACAGCCCGCTGCACTTAAGGGGCCCTTAAGTGCAGCGGATCGGGGGGGGGGTCGGGGGGTACTTAGCGCACGCGGGAGCCCCATGAAATGCTCTGGGGGGGGGATAGGGGGGCACTTAGCGCGCGCGGGGGCTAAAGAAAATGCCGGGGGGGGGGGGGGGTACTTAGCGCACGCGGGGGCCAAAGAAAATGCCCCGGGGGGTACTTAGCGCACGCGGGAGCAGTTCAACTGAAAACACTCCGAAATCTGAATCTTGAAAAATGAAGCTGGATCAAAAACCGAACCTTCAGAAATTAAACAACTCGAAAAACCGAATCTTCAAAAACACGTATCAACGAAAAAACGGATATTCATATTTCAACTCGGTTTGGTAGCCTTATTCCCGGATTAAGGCTACAAAATGTAGCCTTAATCTAGATTAAGGTACTTCGGAATTTTATATATATATATTATATATGATATATACGGTTTCTAGAAAGACGCATTCGGAATGTCAATGTTCGGGAAAACGAAGTTCATGTTGTCACCCCCCCATCAAATGCGAAGTTCATTTTCAACCACCTCATGAAATGGGAAGTTCAGTTTCACTTCCCCCCATGACATGCGACGTTCAATTTGCACACGCCCACACACACGCACACGCACACGCACACGCACACGCACACACACACACACACACACACACACACACACACACACACACACACACACACACACACACACACGCCACTGGGGTTACCGAGCCCACCCCCCACCCCTCAGTGCCGACGTTAATCCCCCCCGACCCTGGCTCATGCACCCCCCCATCGCTGTTGGACTGGATTGGGGGCGCACCGAGGCCGCCTGCAAGCTCGAGATCTTGGCGGCGGAGCGCGTCGACGAGGCCGCGACAGGCAAAGCCAGAAAGAGAGAGAGATAGAGAGAGAGAGAGAGAGGGAGAGGGGGAGAGAGAGAGAGAGAGAGAGAGAGAGAGAGAGAGAGAGAGAGAGAGAGAGAGAGGAAAGGGCAAGCGGAGCGTGGGATGGGGCAAGACGGTGGAAGCATCCCGCCATCGAGGAAGGCAGCCACGGATCATGGGTGCGAATCACTTTTGCCGAGGCGCCCTCTCCCCGCTCGACAGAGCGCACATCCGCATGCCAACCAGTTCCCTCGCGCTGAGCGTCCAGAGGGAGAATTAAATGCCGAGGGCCTCCGCCATGAAAGCAATTAACAAGTTGCGCCCCCCTCCCCCTGCACATGATGCGTGCGTGATAGCTCATCGCATGGACAATGTGACAGTATGCGTGGGCACCTAGGCTTCACAGCAGACCGCAGTGTAGACTAAAACAGCGCCAGTAAGGTAAGTCCATGGGCCATGGGTCATGGGTTATAAGTTATAAGTTATGGTGTTCAGAGTCAGTGACATTGCCACATAATGTGATATGATATTATCAATTATTAAGTATCGTATGCTATAGTATGATGATAATGTGATAATAATAATATTAATAATAATACTAATGATATATAGTCTTAGATAGTAGTTATTGGCTATTGCTCCCAATCATACCCTTCCACCCTCAATATCACCCGCCCTCCTGCCCCCCCTCGTGCCTGTGTGCCTGAGTCGGGCCACTCGCTGGGCGTCCCTGTCTTGCCCACCCCTTAACACTTAGCAAGCGACGCCAGGCTGACCCAAGCCCTAGCCGACGCGTGGAAATAAGCGCTTGTGCCTGGCCACGAGAGTAGGCGTCTTGCCAAAGGGAAGCGCTTGGCCAGCCAATATCCAATCAGCGATCTGCTCGTGGCTGGGAGCATTACGAATGCCGACGCAAACTTTACATCCATGGCGCGGGCAATACACGCTCAAGGACTCGTCTCGTGCCCCAGGCCTAATGATGGTTGCACGCCCCATAAAGTTGTCATATGGGCCCCAATATCTACCAGTCTCGGCCTCATACCTAATTGGGGGCAGGGGTGGGGCTGCTTCGCCTGGCTCACCACTTGGACCCCCGGCCCCCTCAACGAAGACATCGGCGCCCTCGGGGTCAGGCTCGCCAGGGGGGTCGCCGCCAGCCAACGCCTCGAGGTCGGAAAGGTCGGAGTCTGCGCCAGGAGGGTCGCCGCCGCCATCGGCGTCGGGCGGGTCGCCGTCGCTGTCGGAGCCAGGCCCGTCGCCGTCGTCGTCGGGGCCGTCGGAGTCGCCGTCGCTGTCGCCACCGCCCTTCGCCTCTGGGCCCCCCTTCGGGCCATCCTTCTTCCGCCTCTTGGCAACTGGTGGGGCCTTCTGCCTAATGCGGAGCCGGACCAGGTCGCCGCGGGCAGCGGCGACGAGCTTCTGGGCAGCGCGCTTCTTGGACAGCCGCTCCTTCTCCTCACGGACCTGCGGGAGGAGCGAGCGCGGGACAGGGCGGAAGGCCGAGGGCAGGGAAGGAGCATGGAGGAAGAAGAGCTGGGAAGGGGAGCAAGAGGAGGAGAGGGAGGGGGCGAGTAGGAGGAAGAGGATGAGGAGTAGGAGGAGAAGGAGGAGTAAATGAGGAAGAGGATCAGGATGAGGGATGAGGATGAGGAGTAGGAGGAGAAAGAGGATGAGGAGTAGGAGGACCACGAGGATGACGAGTCAAGTGAAGCAGGGCGAGCGACTCACGACAACTAACTACGCCCTCCCGACCTTCTCAGCCACGTCAATGAGGCCCTTCACCCTGGGCGAGGGCGTAAAGGCCACAAGACTTCCCCGGGGGCGGGGCCCCTCTGCCCTTGCCCCAGCGTGCTCGTCAGTGGGGCTCACCATCCGAACCTGCATTGGAATGGCGACCCCCTCGCCCACTTCCAATTGCGTCGCAGTCCGCGCCGCGCAGAGCACGATTATCTCCGCGCGCTCGCGCCGCTACCCGCCTCGGACCAAAGGGCGCGAAGCGCGGTTATCTTCGCGCCCTCCTGGGCGACCTAATGCCGCTCCGCCGTCCATTTCAGCCTAGCAGGCGCCTGTAAGACATGAGCCCCACCTGATCGTAGTCGATCATCATGGCCTTGGACGCGGGGTAGAGCGACTTCCTCATCGCCAGTTCCCTGCCCAGAGAGGTAAGATTGGAAATGCGCGCGCATCTTCGAGAGTGCGATGGCGGAAGTGCAAAGGCAGGATGGCTGGGAGGAGCGCCGCGGCATGCACTGAGACCGGGCAGAGGACGAGGAATGAGCGAAAGCGCAAGCAGGGGAGGGAGTAGAGAGCGAGGGCGACGGGAAGAGGGAGGAGGGAGCAGGGAAAGCAAGCGAAATACGGCGATGATCAGGTGAGGAGGTGGAGGGCAGTGACAGCTCAATGATTGGAGGAATGAGTGGGGTTGGAATCGTTCTGTGGCGGGGTTCATGATGGCACGATTGACGAGCCCCCATCCTGGCCAGGAACGGCGCGTGCGTCACTGACGCGATGTCGGCTGGCATGGCAACGACGTCCCCGAGCTGGGGCGGCTGGATCCGCCGCCTGCAAGCAATGACCTCGAAGGGGCCCCACTCAGTGAACATGCTCAGGATGGCCATCCCTGGCGGCTCAAGGCAACCAGCAGGTCGTTCCTCGGGCCCGTAGTACAGCAACGTTAATGGCTGCCACACGTCATTGT